CGGGACTAGTGTTGGCTTCTGTGTTCTCGAGGGTACGGGAAGGTTTTTCGCTTCTTCCCACATTATTGGAACGTCTGTCGGCTCCTCGTCCTTGTCGCCCTGTTGGGCTACTTGTCGCCCTGTTGGGCTACTTGTCGCCCTGTTGGGCTACTTGTCGCCCTGTTGGGCTGCTTGTCGCCCTGTTGGGCTGCTTGTCGCCCTGTTGGGCTGCTTGTCGCCCTGTTGGGCTGCTTGTCGCCCTGTTGGGCTGCTTGTCGCCCGGTTGGGCTGCTTGTCGCCCGGTTGGGCTGCTTGTCGCCCGGTTGGGCTGCTTGCCGCCCCGTTGGGCCTGCTTGTCGCCCCGTTGGGCCTGCTTGTCGCCCCGTTGGGCCTGCTTGTCGCCCGGTTGGGGCTGCTTGTCCCCCGGTTGGGGCTGCTTGTCGCCCGGTTGGGGCTGCTTGTCGCCCGGTTGGGGCTGCTTCTCGCCCGGTTGGGCTACTTGTCGCCCGGTTGGGCTACTTGTCGCCCGGTTGGGTTCCTTTTGGGCTCTTTGCTTCTTTAGCCGGTTTTATTGTTCCTGCTTCCTCTTTTGGCTACTTTTCTCGTGCAGTAGTCCTGGCTGGCGCCTTCCCGCAGAGAGTGTGTGCGGTTCGGCCAGCGTGTTATGCGCATGCGCCGTGGAGTTTGTTTTGGTCTGGGCGGTGTTTCAGTGCTGGTGTTTTGCGTCCTTTTTGCTACAGTGCTTCGCCTCTCGTTCTTCTCCCTGGCTGCGGTATGTGCCCCTTCGCGCCGGGGGTGTCCTGGTTCCCAGTTGTGTGGAGGACACCGCGGTTTTCCCTGTGTCATGGGTGTGGACCGCCTCCTTCGCCTCTCCCTGCTCTCCTGCGAGTCCGGCAGGGTCCGGGTCAGGCGTCTTCACCTGGCGGTGCTCCCAGGTTCTGGGCACGGTTGAGTCGTGTCAAGTTCGTGCCACCGTTCGCCAGGTGAGTTTCTGCGGTCTAGCGTCTTTTGGCCGGGCGCTGGATGCGGAGTTGTTTATATACCTGTCTTTATTTAGGTATATTTTTGTACGACTGAGACCGTTCGCACACCAGTGACTGTCCCTTTTTCAACCCTTCCTGTCCCCCTCATGTGCATGTCCAACCCATGCTGGAGTCATTCAGGGGACCCTCCTTTTTTAATGTGAGGTGTGGGGGTTGTAGGGTTGGTTCTGTACTCACCTGGTTAGGCTCCTGGCTGTGCTTGCAGGATTTGAGCTCTGGCTCTTGGGTCCCGCCTATCTGGTAGAACTTGTGGGATAGTACCAGTGGAGTGCTGTGGTGCTATTGGCACATTTGGGGAACACTGTATTACCATCAGAGGTCTGTGCTTGGTACACGACCTACTTGCGAGCATACACCTTCTTGCTGGTTCGTCCGTGGACTTCCAGGGCGCACTAGCCTGTTTTCGTATGGCAGTTCCGGCCCGTCCTGGTTGTGGGGGTATGTGGGCCGGTGGACTGCTCCTAGCAGCTGCCTGGTGGGCAACCCTCTGGCCGGTCTACCCTGGCCTTGGGCCAGGCTTGAGGTGTAAAAAGAGCTCCCAGTACCTCATCCAGCAGGTATCGAGCGGGGTTTCTCCGCCGTCGGTCGCCTGGTGCAGGTTTCTGGGCCTGCAGGGTTTTGTCGTGTCTCCGTTGGCCCTGTCTGGGGTCTGCCTGCTCCATTCTCTGCCTTTGCAGAAGGGAGTTGCTATTTACATGTTGCATGTTGCAGTGGTGCCTGTTGCTGCTGCTGCACGTGTGCATTGGTACCGTGTTTCACAGTGGCGTGTCCTTGTTCCGGTTGTGGAGTGGCACTTTGCTGCCGTTTTGTGCCTGGGGATTGCGTGGGGGTTTTTCTGTCCCTGCCTGATTGTCCACCCCTGCTTGTTCTCCTGGGGTTTTTGTGCTTCTGCTCTTTCTTCCTACCTCCTCTGCAGCAGGGGTGTTCTGCGTGTGTTCTTAGGCGTTTGTCAGCCTGTGTCCTGTGATGTGCTTCTTTGTCTTGGTCTATTGCAGTTGTTCGTACCCCTTGGTTTGGGTACTGTGCTGGGGGCGACCCTTCCGCCTTCTTTGGTTTCCTAGCTTGCCCTGCCGTTTTTTTTTTTTTGGGGGGTCTTGCGATGTCTCGTGTCGGACCCGTCGTTTCTGAACTCCTGGCGGGCTTGCATGCTTTGGGGAGTTTTTCTGTTCGGCAGACGTTCCATCTCCTTGTGCCGCCTGGGTTTTGGTGGTCGTGCCCGAGATCTTCCCGCGGCTCTGCCTTTTCCTGGGCTCAGAGGGGCCTTGTCGGGGCTGCTTATGTTCTGCCTCGCTGTCTCGCCTCCGGTTGGTGGTCGGGTGGCTTCGTGGTAGGTGTCCCACCTGCGTGCTTCTCTTGGCGGCAGTATGGGGTATTTTGGCGGTCCTTTCTTTTCCTGTCCCTTCTTAGGTGGTTACTCTTGTTAGCTTGGTTTACTCTCGGCTTGGTTTTCTGGTGGGGGTTGGGGGCTGTTGTCTTGCCACATACTGTCGCCTCTGTTGGTGCGGCGCGGGCGGAGCCGCTTCAGCTTGCTTTTGGTCTTGGTGTTGCTTCTGCACCGTTAGTCTGCTGTCTTGTGCATGGTTTCACCTCCGGCCTGTTCGTGCGCCGCTTGCACCATCCTGGTCTCTGGTCAGCGTGCTCTGTCTTCTCCTCGGTTGGTAGTGCTCCTTCGGTTCCGGTGTGTTTTTTCGTCGGCTTTTTCCTTTTGGCCTTTGCCTCTTGGGGTTGAGTCGCTGAGTTTTCTTGCTCCTTTGGTTTTAGCGTTTTGGCTGTTCGGTGGCAGCAGTCTCCATCTTTTCCGGCACGGGGTGGGGCTGCTGCATTCTGGAGGGGTCCAGGGTTTGTTGGTGCTTCGTTGGTCGGGCCGGGGGTGTGTCGTTTTTTGGTGTTCAGTGGTGGCCCTCCACTGTTGTTTGCGTGCCACGGCGTTTGGGTCCGGAGCGCGTTTTGCGTTGATCCGGTTCTGTTCTTCCCGGTTCGCTGGTGATAGTGTCCCGGGTGGTCAGCCGTATTCTTGCTGCTAAGCTGCCTGTGTTCTTCCCTCATGCCTGTGACGTTCGTGGCTTCGCTGCTCTCGCTGCCGTCTGGGCGACGTGGCCTTGCGGTCTTTCGGGCATGGATTTTTGGTATTCGTGCAGGGGCCTTGCTGCTCGTTGTTCTCGTGTTGTTCCCGGGACTTTTCGGGGCTGTGGCGCCTTGGGTTGGCGTTTGCTGCCGGTTGTCTTGCCTCCTTGGGGGGTACGTGGTGTCCGCCTCCCGGTTCTGTACCTTTGACCTTCCTCTGTGGGTAGTTAGCTCCGGGGAGCCGACGGGGCTTCCCCCAGAAAACCAGCGTTGAATGTAATGAAACGCCATTTTCTGGGTGAGACCCGGAGGCTTCCCGGCAACCTTCCCTCCCTCCGGTCGGCGGTTTTTCGCGTGTTTTGACATCCAGCCTCAGAACTGATGGGTGGATAGCCGGCGTGGGAAGTCTGGGGCTCCCCCTTCCCCCTCCCGGGGAGGGGGAGCTGCGCAGACAACGGCGCAGTGACGTATGACGTCATACTAGTTTCCTTGTTTTCTGTTGAAGAGTTCTATCCACTAGTTCGGCTTTAGGTAGCAATTTTCACCAGAATAGGGGTTTGTTTTGGAGTGCTTACCTTTCTGGATGCTTGACCCGGTCGATGGCAGACATAGAATGCTTCCAACCACACGGGGGTTTCTATAGGCCATTGCTCCCCTTGCCTCTCTGAGGGGGCCAGGTTCTGGCCGTGGTCCCCGGTAGGCCCTAGAACTCCATACACATGACTGATGCCAAAGTCTGACATTAGCATATCAGCCGGTAAAGCTCCAGGGAGCCTCCGGGTCTCACCCAGAAAATGGCGTTTCATTACATTCAACACTGGTTTTTTTAAAGTTCTTTGGAGACGATACCTAACCTATACTTCTTCTCAAGTTGATGTCTTTTATTAATAGATTTAAGTATCCCCTTTGTAAGCCAAGGATTGTTTAGCCTTTTAGTTGTGACTTGTTTCGTTAGCATAGGACAGTGGGTGTTATAAAGGCTGAGAGTTTTTTGAAGAAATGATTGCACTGCTAGGTTGATGTCCCATATGGTACCTAATTTGGACTCCCAGTTGATATTAGCGGCAGCAGCTATAAAATTGCCTATAGAAGTTTCATTATGCAGCCTAAAGCTTATCTTCATTGTATCTAGAGGTGGTTTGTGAATGTTGGTTAGGAGAAATGTGGGGTAATGGTCTGTAGTGCTATCAGTGATTATCCCTGAAGTAAGCAGAGAGGTTATGTTGGTCCAGATGTGATCAAGAGCTGTGGCAGTACTATCCGTGATTCTAGTAGGTCTAGTGATTAAGGGTATGATGAAACAGGAATCCATACAGTTGAGGAAACTAACAACAAGAGGGTTATCAGGCTTGCAAAGGATCAATGTTAAAGTCCCCAGAAATAATTAGGTGGTTTTTGTTCAGTCTGCTCTCTAGTATTAGATGTCTAAGGTTAGAGTTAAATTCTGTCACATCAGTGTTAGGAATGTCTCTTCACATCTGCTCCAGAATTGGTTTTAAAGAATGGAGGTGACCTGGAGCTCTGGCTCCCTCCCCACAACTGGAGGAGAGAGGGGTAGCTAATACTAACGAACTCATTCTAGTTTTGAGAGATTCAATCGTCTGTTTGCATTGTTTGGGGAAATTCATTTGGCAATTGTGAGTCTTCTTTCTCTTTGAACTCAGCATTAATCTATATTGGTTCATTGACTTTCTGGAGGTTTTCCTGGCGGGATGGTGGAGTGTCTCCTGTTCTCTGGGCCTCAGTGAAAGGCTGCCAGGTTCTCGCTCTGATTCCCAGTAGCTCAAACAGAACTCGGCAGCTGATGCAACCTCATAGTTGGGAGCCATCACACTGAGATTCTTCAGGGAGCCACCGGAGGTTATCCAGAATAAGGTATTTCATTATATTCAATGCTGTTTTTTTTTTTTTCAGGGTAACTAGCAAGTATAATGCTTCATATATAATGAAGATAGATGATGACACCATTTTAAATATCCATCACCTGGAAACATTTGTTAATGATGAGAGTAACACTGCTCCTTCATTGTGGTCCCAGTTTCACTATCATCGTTCTGTGCCTGTGTATGGGAAATGGGCTGACACAGATTATCCCTCTCCAACATACCCAACATTTCCTTCAGGTGCAGGATATCTCATGACAGGTTAGCAATAACTTTAAGCAACTCTTTACCTCTCTATCTGCATGCGTAATTTTGTTTATCAGTTTATGTATACAGTATACAAACTAATAGGAATTTTGAGATTGCCTGTGCATACAGCCTCAATTTGTGTTATATTGAAGTATACAGATACCAGTTCTGAGTTTAATAGTGTGTTAAAAAATTTTCTGTGGAGTGCCCCTTCAGCTCCCCAGAGTTATACCAGGCTGTGTATATATTAGACCGTATATATTAGATATATTAGACTTGTATGATTTTCGTGGCCTTCCACTAGGTCCCCATGATTGCACACGTCGCAGGGGCTCAGCTTATAGTTTGTTTCTGTCAAACTTTTGTATCTTTTATCTTTGTATCTGAGTCCCATCTCGATTTGTGCAAGTTTGAAGGTTGCTCTGTCACCTTATCTCAGGGTGACACTCACTGTCTTTGCCTCCGCCATGCTGCTTGTTGGGTCAATGACATCTTTGACCCGGAGTCGTGCGAGTGGTGTTCCTTGCTTGTACTGTACTCCATTTCACCCAGTCCACTGATATTGATATTCAGCTGCAGGTAGCTTCAGCATTACATGCACTATTTAAGTTGCTGCAATGTGCTAGGTTGGTTGTCTTTCTGGATGCCTCACGGCTGCCCCGCTTTGGTTATAGGGACCTGTTCTTAGGGGTGTTAGTCGCCTCGACTCTGGTTTCGTCCGTATCCTCTTATCCTTCCCCTGCTGGGGTTCATCCTACTCCCGGTTTCGGGGACAGCCCCTTCCGGATTGGCGGAGGAAACATTCGATCCTGTTCCTCCTCCTGGGGCTTTTGGGTCACGCCAGCAGGCCCCCCCTTCATCCCTGCTTTTCTGGTAGACTCTACCTTTTCTCCAGAGGCAGAGGGTTTGGAGGATGGTTCGGCCCCGGATCCTGCAATGGAGGATCCCTGGGCTGGGGAAGAGTTGACTTGGGCGGGGGGGGCTTGGGCCCTGTTTGACCCCGCTAGGGTATTAGTACCCTCTGCACGGGGTTTGTTGTTACAGGGGGAGGGGTTTTCCTATCCCCCTCCCTGTATGAGTTTGATATGGGGTTCGATTCCTCCCCAGGCTTGGTTCCTGATTCCCTTGGGTTCCTCGTTCCCTCCTTCCAGAGGTTTTCGGCTTCCTGCATCCTGCCGAGGGAGGTGCAGGAGGCCCGTGTGGCTTACCTCTTGTGAGACCCGGATTATGCCTCGATACTGGATCCTTCTTCTTTTGAGTTTAGCTCCTCTTTTTTTCCTTACTGGGTGTGTTACTAGGTGCCGGAGTCATCCTGGCTGGCAGACTGCCCTTTCTTTTCGTTGGAGACTGCTTCACGTGCAGGTTCCCTCTCTTTTTTGGCGCCCCCTGGTGGCCGAGGATTTGCGTGCCTGTGGGCATTTGGCTTTGGTCTTGCGCTTCTTTTCCCAATTGGAGCTGTCTTCGGACTGGCTCGAGGTAGATGTGGAGGATCTGGGTTCCAGGCCAGCGTCCGGTACGCTTGCCCAGGCGGCTCAGGCGTCGGCTGCCTTGTTGAAGTTTTATGCGCCAGTTCTGAGGGAGGCAGTGTCTCTGTTCTTTGCTTCTCGCCTGGCGTGCCATCAGGCGGTGTTTGTCTACTCTTTGGAATTTGGTTGGGCCCTAGCTCTTTGGTTTTTGTCTCTTTTTTTTTTTTGTCTGTTGCTGTTTGCAGAGTGTGCGGTGGAGCATTTTCTGCAGGCGGCCTCGTCTAGTTGCCAGCCTATGTCGAACTTGTTGTTTCTCCTGGAGGTTCGTGGTGGTCCTGCCCAGAAGGGTTATGCTAGGACTCGGGGTTCCTTCAGTCGTCGTAAGCTTGTTGTGCCAGATTCAGGGCCAACCCCTCTTGCAGAACCGTCGACATCTGGTCGGCGCAGGGCTCGCTCTGAGTGTTGGTCCGGTCTCTCGTAAGGGTTGTCAGCACTTTCGCGGTTCTCCCCGTTGAGAGGGCAGTGGGGGGGGGGAGGCTCATGCTGTTTGCTCACGCCTGGTCCCATGATTCTCTGACTTTTCGGGTCATTTCCTCTAGCCTGCGGTGGCACTGGGTAGCTCCTCCTCTTTCTGGGATTCGGCGCTGGCAAGGCAGGCCTCTTCCCCTGCGCTGTCGAGTCATCCTGAAGTGGGTACGCATGGGCATAGTCAAAACGACGGTGTTGTTTTGACGCACGTTGCCAATGCCAACAACGACGGCGTTGGACGGTTGTTCAACGTCCTCCCAGCGACTATAAGAAATATTGCCGGAACAACCATGGACATCTTCAAGAGAAAACTAGATTGTTTTCTAAAAAAAGTGCCAGACAAACCGGGCTGTGGAGGGTATGTGGTTCTGCAGGGGCCGCTCCAAGCAACAGCCTGGTGGACCAAGCTCTCACAAGTCATGCTTGGGCCAGGCTTGGGGAGTAGAACTCTCAGAAACCCATCAAGCAGGTGTCCATCAGGTGGGTTTCCCACCTGTTCCACATTCTAAAACAGGACTGTGTGGACCTGAGGTTCATTCTGGACTTGTCCCGTCTGAACCCCTGAGTCTTTGCCCTCTCCTTTCGGATGACTACTCTGTCCCAGGTCCAGCTGCTTTTGGAGCTGGGTGCTTGGATGGTGTCCCTGGACCTCTGGGATGCGTATTGGTATGTTCCGATTCATTTGGGGGTCCAGGACTGTCTCAGTTTTATGATGTTGCATCAGGCTTACGGCTTTCGTTGCCTTCCATTCGACTTGAATATGGCACCTCGCGTTTTCACATGCCTTACCTGGGTCGGGGTGACCCACTTGCATCTGTTAGAGGCTCAGGTTCTGGCTTACCCTTACGACTGGCTGGTCTTGGCTTCCAGCCGGTCTGCGTGTCTGCTTGCCAGTGATTTGGTTCTTTTCCAGCTCGCCAGGTTCGGATTCTTGGTGAACTGGAGGAAGTCTTATTTGGTTCCCTCTCAGGTTCGGACTTGGTTGGGTCTTGTATGGGTCTCTCAGACCTCTTCCTTGTCTCTCCCTCTGGTGGCATTGCTGTGGCTGTGGCCCTACCTTTGGCTGTTTTTAGAGGGACACCCGGATCACTCGTTGGTTGTTCGAGCAGCTGTGCGGGAGTCTGAACTTTGCCATGCTGGTCTACCCGTTGGGTCGGATCTGGCATTGGCAGTTGTTTTGGTTTCCTTCAGGGACGTTCCTTCCACCGCTCTCGCGATCTCTGGGTTCAGATCCCGGGGGCCCTTGCATCGACTGCTGCATCGCCGGCTTTCTCTTCGGACTTCTTGGGGTTCAGTGCTGTGGTGCCTATACGAGCCCTCGCTCGATATGCTCAAGGACACGCCGTCTCTTGGCTAGGGTTTTGTGACCAATGCTTGCAAAACCCTGCGAGGCCATCGGAGTCGATGCCTTTCGGCTGGACTGGTCATGATGGGGTTACCTGTACTTCTTCCCACTGGTTCAGTTGTTGCTCCAGGTCCTGGCATGCTTGGAGACTTACCAGGGGATAGTAGTCATGTTGGCCCTCTTGGTAGCCTGGTTGGACTACTCACCAGTCTGGCTAGGGGTGGTGGGGTCCGTCTTTCTATGAGATTCACAGCACAGTGCAGGAGTTTGCGACAGTGTGGTATTGGCTTTGGAGGGTTCGGGTCGCTCGCAGTTCAACTTTTCGGCTTCATTCGGAATGCTCCCTGGTGATTGATTGCATGAACTGAGGGGGTTCATTGTGGTCTTTCGCTCTTTGGGGCTGGTCGCTTTGGGTGACTCATCTACTGAGCTCTTGGGGTTTTGCTCTCCTGGCAGTTCACGTTCAGGGGGTGTCCAACATCCGACGGACGTCCTGTCCTGGTTCATTCCCGTTTCCACGGAATGAACAGTCAACGCCGACTCATTCAGTTTGCTCTGCCGGACATATGGGCGCCTGGAGGTGGACCTCGTCGCGTCGGCGTGGTCGAGGCGTCTTCCAGAGTATGTGGTGTCCTACCCCAACTGCAAGGCCGTTGGGGTTGATGCAGGCGATGAGTCACAATAATGTGGCTAAAGTATGATGACCAGACCACACACTAGAATGTGAAGGGACGGCGACGTTTCGGTCCGTCCTGGACCATTCTCAAGTCGATTGTGATGAGGAAGTAGAGACAGGCAATAAATAGGCACGAGAGATGAGGAGCAAAGGAGCAAAGTAAAGTGTAGTAGAGGGGCTAGTGGTAGGAACTGCAGAGGGCCTATTGGCCCATACGAGGCAGTTCCTATTATAACCACCGAAAGAGAATGAGAAAATAATAAGAAGAGGAAAACGAGGGAACGTAGGAGAAGACAATGAACAGAAAAAAAGAGAGAAAAGAGAAAGAAAGGAAAGAGAAAGAAAGGTAAATGGAAAGGGTAAGCTTATGTAAGGTCACGTTTGTTAGAAAGATTAGAGCATTTGAGTATATACTGTGAAAGGAAAGAGTCCACAGCAACAAAGCCAGGACTCAAGTTCATGTTGAGTACATTGTGTATTAGAGCCGATTCAACAAGACGGCGTCTGTGTAGAGTAGAGGCAGGAAAGATTATTTTGGAGGAAGACCAATCAATGGGATGATTAAAATCCCTCACATGGCAGAAGAGAGCATTGTTAGTGTCTGCAGACTTAACACTTCTCTTGTGTTCTTTAAGTCTGTCATTCAGTGTCATTCAAAGGGATTGATGCCTTTTGGCTAGACTGGTCGAAGTGGGGCTAACTGTACCTATTCCCACCGGTTCGGTTGTTGCTCCAGGTTCTGGCTTGCTTGGAGACTTACCAGGGGAGAGTAGTCCTGTTGGCCCCCTTGATGGCTGGCCCAGCCCTGGTTTCAGGCGCTGCTTGCTTGATGTCCAAATCCAATGGTCTTCCCGCGGCTCTGCATCTTTCAGCAAATCAGTCCAGTCCGGTGTGTGGCTTGTTTGGTCTTCTCCGATCTTCGTGTCTGGTCTTTTTGAAATGGGTTTATCACTACTTGTATGGTGATCAGGTGGCTTCATTGCTGGTGTCCCACCTG